CACGTTGTCAGCTGCAGTAGTTGGACTGATGAACAAGCTGTAACAAACTCATTTTACGGATGTTACTTGAAAGTGTCAAGTGACCTTCACTTCAAGAAGGCTGGTTTATCGTACTTGCAATGTAAAGATGCCTGCACTTTAATGTCAAAAAGTTTAGCAGTGATGCAAGCAGGTTTCAAATGTTATTGCGGCAGTAGTTTGAACATAGCTGGTAACATCCCAGTGGAAGATTGCAAGAAAGGCCATTACGGATCCAACCTTATATTTGATGACTGTGACATGCAAGATGATTTTTGCAATAAAGTCAATGGAACTTTAAACCTCATTACAACAACTTCCAAAGCTACCAAACATGACATTTATGATACAAATTCTACTGAGACTTTAGAAACCATCGTCATTATCAAGCCTTCCGACGAATCCACAAACATCACATCATTGCAAACGCAGCTTTACGATTCTTACAACATATATTTGGTCATCACGTCAGGTGTGACCACCATCGCCTTCCTCTTCATGCTAGCTCTTTTAGTTAGAGAACTGAAGTTAAAACGTGTGATACCAAAAAGAACAAGCGAAACCTCAGGCAGAAGCGCAAGGATTTCAAGCAGCAGTGAAGTTAGATCCTCAAGAAATAGTTTGAGTGTGAATAATACTGAAGCAATATAACTGTATGTATAGAAAAAAAAATGTCCAATCAGAACCCATCAACAAAACCAACTAATCAACCAGTTATTAACGTTTAGCAGTTTTGTAATATATGTTTCAATTTTATTCTTTCTGTTTAGTTTTTTCTACGTTCAATTCTTATGTTATCTTTTGTGAAATATTTCTATTTTTACTGGAATTTTTTCAATTTAAAAAAAAAGAATTTATACTTGAATATTTGGTTTCAAAATAGATTCACCATTAGTAAGTACATGACTTGTGGAGGTTGCACAACGATTTAAAACAGTAGGGAAAGATAGATCATCAACAAACAGATTGAGTGTGAATAATACTGAAGCAATATAACCGTATGTGTAGAAAAAAAGATGTCCAATCAGAGCCAATCAACAAAACCAATCAACCAACCAATGTTATTAACACCTAACATGTTGTGATTTTCATCAATAATTGCATTTCTGACAGTCTTAATCCATTAATCCAACATATATATATATATATATATATATATATATATATATATATATATATATATATAC